TCTTTCTTTTAAGTACATATGCAATAGATATTTGAATAGGAGACAATGATGATATACTGGATTATGCTTGCATGGTTGGGTGCTTGGAGTCTGAGTAATTGCTGTGTTTCCACATTAAACAGTTGCTGCTTATTCTTTAAAGTTCCTGTTCCCATCCCATAAGAACTAAGCAATGATAGCACTGCTTTTGCTTCTTCTGCTTAGGAATTTGACAATGTGTCGTTGTGTCTGTTCAAATGCTCTCAGAGTGTTCATAATGATTAGTACTGTGTCACCCATTGTATTTTGCTGTAAAGATTGATTAAACCAAGGAAGAGACAACATTTAACATAATGGGTCATGAAGTCAGCTCCAGTTCTAGTAGATTTTAATGAGAATATAGCAAAAGTGAAGGGAAATGAATGTAATTTTGGCAAGATGGAAAGGGATCACTAGTTCAAGTTCCCATAATGAGGATCAAGCAAAGTTGCTTAGAATCAAAACTGATAGAGCCAGGAATAGTTTGAGATCTAAAATAAATTCTTAAGCAAGAAGTATTTTCTTCACTGATAACTTTCCTGGGTAAGTATTCTCCACATACACAAGCACATAAGGAAGCTATATATTGTGAAGTTCAGGCTTGAAAGTTTTCCTTCCATAGCACACTGTCTCTGCTATAGACACAGAAAAGCTGTTGGTGCTTTCACTGCTTTGTTTGTGACAAAAAATGCTTATTAAAATCAAGTTTTTTCTGCTACAGAAGCAGATATTTTTTCTCCTCCTTCTCCCTGACTGCAAGGTCAGTTAGTATCTTTCCTCTCTGGCAAACAGATGGTCCAGTGAATATAGGCCTTGCTTGCTTTCTGAGCAGCTGCTGAAGTGGACATAACGTAGTAAGTACCATTAAAAAAGTAAAAGGAGAGAGAGAAAAAAAAAAAAGCTGATCATTAAGAAGACTTTATATTAAGTGGGGGCAGAAAAAGCAACAACCACTGTGTAACATTTTTTCACAGCAAAAAGGAGCTATGTCTTCCAGTGTGTAAGAAGAGTGGTAAAATGAATTCCAAATTCATAGAAGAAAGTTCTCGCTGTTAAGATGTTTTTTTATAAGGGTTACAAATCTATGCTATGCAACCAGTATCTTGGAGAATGTTATCTACCTGAAATAAAGTAACGTGTTGGTCATGAATAAGTTGTGTTTTCATGATGGAAAGCATGAAGTTATATAAGATGTATTTCTCTCGTAAATGAATAGAAACTGAATGGGTTTATAGTTCACAAAAATGTGAGTTTTGCTTTATTTCCCTAGTAAATATCCTGTTAGGGCAAGTTTACAAGCACTTTCAAGGCTTTTGTAAAATAAAGCAGTCTTGCAGTGACTTAGTATTTTTCAAACCAAATATATGGCAGATACCCTTGTGCGATTACGTTGATTTGGCAAATGGTCTTAAAAGATGTTTGGGTTTTCAGTTCTGTTGGGATACTTGTATCACCCCAGTCAATTTGCAATTTTTTTCTCTCCCAAAATATGTGACTACTCTGTCACGAGTAAAGCTGCCTTGTTTTAGCTGGCCAGACAAAGTCAGGCTGTTGTTCCTTTCTTCTATTCCCGTTTATTGCTACAGCCACTTTTTTCCTTATTGCTTCTGCTGGAGCGAGAAGCACTCATTGAATCTGTCGTGTCAGTACCTTTATGGACAACCGGGAAGTTTTGCAAGATTTTCAGCTCTTCCTAAAGCTTTCAGCATGTTCCTTGTCAAGTTACTGATCATTTTAAATGACCTGCTATTAATCTAGTTTAGGTTAAGCCTTTCCAACTTTCTGGTCTTTTATGCCATATTGGTAGGTTTTGGCTTAAGATGTTGGATAAAAATGGCAGACTGCAGCTTTGCATATATGTAGCTTCTATTTAGTCCAGTTTCTGGGTATAATGTCCCCTATGTTCACGTGTCCAATATGCCAACAAAGTAGGCTTCTCCAGTGGGTCTGCAATTTTCTGTCCCCTTTCAACGAAGCTCAGTATTCTCTTTCCTTGTGTAAAATATTCCAACTCTAGGTGCTCCCTTAACCCTCGTTTAAAATCCTGCAGCTTTTAATCCTAAGGCCTGGATGTCCTCAACCTATAGTTGTAACATAGGATATCGTGGGATACCTCAACCAATGAGTTATCCTGTGATACTGAACTCTGCTAGTAGGTGCAACTTTCCTGCATGCTGCAGTTTAGCTTAGCTTCTAGATTGTTCACAGTCCCTTTCTCATTGGACTGTGGTGAATTCTCGTTCATTCATCAATGGTGTATTATTATTCTTAATGGTGAATAATTCCAAAATTACTTCCAGTAACACCTTGTTTGATATGTAAGCAATTTGTCACTGTTGCGTCTTGTTTAAAACAGCAGGTTTTATCTGAAAGGGTTTTTTGCTTAGAAATTAAGCTTTATTTCTTTTCTTTTTTCTAAAGTCTTGCAGATCTTGGGGTAGAGGTCATCCCAGAACAGTGGTGTCCTATGATGGATTTTATTCTACTGTGAATTTCTGCAATTTCAGAGACAGGGTACAATCTATCATAGCCTATCTTTGGTCTTCATCATTATTCTGGTCTGTCAATATTGCAAATTGTGGGTTATTGCTATGTCTCAGTATCCCAGAGCTACACACAAAATTTATATCCCTTTGCATCTAGTTAAATGTTGCAGGTTTTTGTCACAACTATTCCTCCCCAAATTCCTCTTCTCAAATATTCTCTTGCCATCATAGTATCCCTAAACCTGGCTAGCCTCTGCCTTTGTAGGCAGAGTGCACATGAGCAGTGCTCTTGTGTGATAGCTTATGACACTCAGCAAGTCACTGAAACATATTGGTAAGCTCAAAATTTATTTCGTCCCTCTCAGCTCCACTCTTTCTTCAAATGGCTGTCTGGTTTTTAAAAGAGCAAATACCTAGGTATATGTCTCCCTTCCTTTGGTGATGTTGGCTCTTGTTGATTGTCCTTGCGTCCCATTCTCCTTTGGTTACCGTTGATGGTACGTTTTTCTCCTATGTAACCAGTTCTTAACAAGTTGCCTTGTGCTTTTGGGCAACACCTGGCCATTTGGCAACGTCCTCTCACCCATACATACTCTTCTAACATTTGTAGTCTAGCATGTATCAAGACTAATATGGGCTAACAAAATTTGAAAAAAACTTTAAAAAAATAATAAATGAATATGTGGAATTGGTGGGCAGAAACTCTGGTTTTCATTCAAACAACTCCCTGTTACTTTTACACTTGGGAAAAATGTGCCTGCCCTTCTCAGCAACAAATTGAATGTATTTTAATGATGTACTTTATATTAATTATTTGCAGTGTGTTTTCTTGTGTTGGGTGCTATGGAACAATAGCTGCATCACCATGAGCATAGTAAAAGAACTTTTGCAACCATAACAGTGCATTTACTTTGACATTCATCTAGCCTTCAAAAAGCAAAAAGCTTCCTCCTCTCATTTTTTGTATGTTCCCCTCACCCTCCTCCCCCAGGTTAGCAACTCCAAGCTTAGTCAGTTGTAATGATTTTAAAGACAGTGTATCACTAAAGGCAAGATTCTATGTCTCTCTTGACTTCTGACAAAAATTATGCTTTCATCTTTGCATGATTGTGTATAATGTATTCATAGACAACACTTGAGTTTAATCACAAGAATTCTGTGATATACCTTTTCCAAGGGTTTTGTATAGGGGTGAATAGGAGGCCACTTGGCCTAATTTTGGTGTATGCCACATCTCTCTACCTTCTTTTGTTCTCTGGTTGCTGCATTATATCGTTTCCTCTGCTTGCTTCTCTGCCTGCAGAAACTGCAAGGTTGTTGTATAGAATGGGAATCCTCTGAGACTGGCTTTGTCATTACTGAAGCAACTCTTCTGTAGCGAAGGAAGCCACCCGTGACTTTTTCCAGCAAGGCCCCCCGAGCAGTAGACAGCGGGACCTGCTGGGGATGTCTTAGGGTTTTCTTTTTAGCTGTCTGTCTGGGTCTTGCTCAGTCTCAAATAGAAGACCCAGGAAGGCAGCATGTCCTCTTACTGATAGACTACCTGACTAGTGTGCAGAAGCCATCTATTGTGGGGAAGAGATCAGCCACCAGCTGTCTCAGTTCTTGTTGTCAAAGAGGGTTGAGGCATGTCTATGGCGTGGAGTTCTCTCCAATGTCTTGCAGACTTACTAGAGACTGGGGTTTTAAATATAAGCAGTTTACTGAAATAATCAGTATCATCTCCTGTGGGTACGTCCCAGGGTTGTGTGTGCGCTCACTTTGGCTTTGCTTGTTTAGTGATAGCTGGTCTTTGCCAGCATGAATGGAATTTCTATGGTTGCTGCTTTGTGTGGGATTTAGACATGTAAGCCTGAAATTTGTGAGAAATAGTTCACCATAATCTTGGTCCTTTTTCAGTCAACAGGTTCACTGAACATTTTTAGATCCTCAAAACCTATTTAAAACAGCCTTTTAGGACTTTGGTGTTAGCACAGAAAGATGGATGTAGAGCTGCAGAACCGCTCACCACATGGTACTTAGTACACCTTGGGTTTTGCTAGCGAATAGTAAGAGAAAAGACATACTGGGTGTAGGGTGAGAGGTGGTGATAGGTGATCCAGGAACAAAGCACCGTTCTTGTTCTTTCTACATAAATGACTCCCTGCTTCCCTGTTGCAGTTTCCAGTAGGGAAGAATGATGTTTTATTTCCTTCCCCTGTGCCTCCAAAAGTAACAAATCAGGAGTAAGCTGCCTTTGCTTTACGGATATTGTAATACATGGAAGTCAGGAACAGTTTCCTGCCTTCTGATCAAGATTCATCTTGTCAGCAGGAGTGATAAAGGTTTATTTCACTTATGGCAAGGTAGACTTTCTTCTGCCTTGTACCCGCTGAAATAAATTACCAGTTGACTCTGGACTTACTGTCTTGAGTGTGTGCCTCAGGAGCGCTGTCTGTTTAATTAGAGATGAATAAGAGAAAAAATAAGCAGTGTAACTTTTCTTTCCTTCTGTAGAGTTGACCCCTGAGGAGAAAGCCATGAAGATTGCCAAAGCTATGCGTAAGCAGTCATTAGAGGTAAAAGAGAAATGGGAGAACCTAAATGCCAGTGTCAGTATCTGGCAGAAGCAAGTGGACAAAGCGTTAGAAAAACTGAAAGATTTGCAGTGTGCCATGGATGACCTCGATGCTGACTTGAAGGAGGCTGAAAACGTGAGGAATGCCTGGAAACCTGTGGGAGACTTGCTCATAGATTCTTTACCAGATCACATTGAGAAAACTACAGTAAGTGTGGAACCCCTGGGAAATATTTAGCCTGTGTGAGAGTGAGACCTCTTCATTCTTCTACCTCTAGTCACGTTGAATATGTACACACTGTACACTTAAATTCTTATGTACAGTTTAAAGTGCTCTTAAAGACTAGATCTGAGGTCTCAAACAAAGTCCTCTACAGTGCCATATTCTCTGTGTCAAATGTGATTGCACAAGCACATGTGATCAGCAAGCTACTAATGTCTAAGGAATATATCATTAATTAAATGAAAAAAAGTGTTCTGGGATTTAAATGTTTTCCTCCTAGAAACACCGTCTAATCCATAGTTAGGCCATGGGTTGGTTTGGAGCTTTGCCTGGGCACTGGAGTATGAGTGGGCTGAGTCAGTTATCATCCCAGCGGTTGTCAGTAGACTCCCCTCCTTTTTGTTGTGGTGAGCTGTCAGATCTGTTTGGCCATCACGTATAGATTTCTTCTTAGAATAAACATTTAGAGCTCTTTCAGTCATACAGAAGTATATGTGTAGTTTCCATTTCTCTTCCTTACCTTTCACAAATGTCACATGTTTATTGTCTATTTTAGCTTGTATGAGTGAAGATTTGTATTTGCTTTTACTTCAGCCTGGCTTCTCTTCAGGATTATTTCAAAGTGAACACATATTACTGCATAATGTTCTCATGGGCATACCAGTTCTTGCAGCCAGGGTTCCAGGCCACCCACGCAGGGCTCAGCACCCCAAGACGTGGCTGCTCATGATGGGTAGGAGTCATCCCCTGCTTAGCTGCATCGGTTGGGTAGGGATCCAGTAATGCAGAGCTCCCCAAAGAAGGAATACCTTCTGGTAATGAACATTGTCCAGGAAAGCTTACTGGAATCAGCACAGTGCTTGGAGGAGTGGCTGAATATCAGGGAGAACATGTAGGTATGCACATGTAGGTAGGGGAAATTGCTGTTTCAGGCAAATTTAGCAGTTAGCACCAAGCTTCTGTTTCACAAACACAATTTTTCAGTTTTTGAGCTCAAGAACGAATATGGCAAAAAATTAGAGGACCTTGGGGACATGTACCTAACCATCCACGTCTTCAGCATGAGGTGCTGGTGTTAGAAGAATGAAGGGCCATGGGCTGCAAAAAGTTTTCTGCAAATACTCTCTCTACGTATAGCTGGCCTGTGGAAATTAACACAGGACTGCGTTATTTCACATATATCGATGTAAGCATACTCATCCTCCAAATTTTCTTGTTATGTTCGGGTTTAATGGAACGAAAATCTTTAAAACAGAGGCAGTCGAAGCTGGTTTATATCTAGACTGCTGTTGATTTGAGAATAGTAATATGTTTCCACCTCCCCCTCTTACATTTGAATGTAGATGCTAAAGCAAGCACTAAGATGCTGATGCTGAATATCTCTCTGTTCTCATGTTAAAAAGCGATTTGTCACATCTTGACGGATTTTTCTGTAAGGAAGAGTAAAGCAGTCTTCTAGATTTTCGTTGCTGTGTAAAAACTGAAACATCTGCTGAAGTAATAGGGGCCTTCTGCCTGTCCAGCAGCCGAACGCTTCTGTCTTGCCAGTAGGTGCCTTCTGTTCCTGGGCCTGATAAGAGAGATTTTGAAGGGAGGTAAATAATTGAAAAGTCCAAAGAAAATATTTTTCCATTTGTTTTTGGCTTGTTTCATGATATTTAATCAAGCCATTTATAGGATTGAACAATTAACTGCTCACAGCAAGAAAGACATTTGATGCATCTTCTGAACTGTAACTAAAACGTGCATCAATTTTGTCTTAATAATGTATTTAGTTCCGTTTGATTCAATAAACCTTTTTCTTCTTTTTAATCATTGTGATAGTTTTACTCTACAGTTCTAATCAGGTAAAAGATTGTACTCCCTTTCCTTAGAAGATACATTCCTTCATGCTTTGCTAATTCAATAATAGTTTTTAAATTGAATTTTTGTCAGCTGCTTAATACTGGAAAATTGTAGTTACTGAACACATTTTTTTCTTAAGAGCACTTGACAGGCTGTATACTGTTAAAGCTCCTGATAGAGCATTGCGTATTTCTTTTTGGAAAGAAAAGCTCTAAAGCCATATGGCACCACGAAAAATCTTATTTAAACTGTTTAAGGAGTGCAATTTGGATATGGGCATTTTGGGTCCATTTCATACTGTTTAAAGATGGATATGAAGGAGTTAATAATAATATTGAAGTAAATGAGCTTTCTTTGCTGTCGAACTCTGAGTTGCGTAGTTGTTTAGGATAAGCTGCCACCCTGGGCAAGTCAGCACCATGTTGAGTTTACAGTGCCTTTTGTGCTGCTCAGAAGACCGTTAAGCATAAATGTGTGCTTCTTACTTTTCTAGGCTTTTAGAGAAGAAATTGCTCCCATCAACTTGAAAGTTAAAACAGTGAACGATTTGTCCAGTCAGCTGTCTCCACTTGACCTTTATCCGTCATTAAAGATGTCTCGTCAACTGGATGATCTTAATATGCGGTGGAAACTTTTACAGGTATCCTTCTGAATGTGTACAGTGGCGGGGGAAGAAGGATGCTTGTCACTCTCTTCTGTTCTCTTTCAAGATGCATTATCCCCATTTGTTCATTATTTCTATCTTTAAGATGTGACTTTAGTGTACCAAAGCAACAAAGGGAGCTGTCTTTCCTTCTGTGGTTTGACAAAAATCTTTTCCTTTCAAGACATCTCAGCAACTTATTCACTCAGAAGACTGCATTAGTCTCTGGAGACTAGCGGGAACTATTGCTGTATGCTTTTTGTGTCTGTTATAGCAGTATTTTTACTGCATAAATCATTGCTGCTGAAAACTGGTGTACATATTTCTGTTGTGTTTCTAGCTCCTGTAAAAGCTGTTTTATTTTGGTTCAGTTTCTGCACGGATTTTCACTTAAAGTGACTTAAGTACTAGTAGAGCTATAACGAGATGTGAGCAATAGCACATTTAGCATTATACAACAAAAGAGGGTATGCTGTGAGAGAGATTCGTATTACTTGGTTATGATTATTGTACTTAAATGGTCCGAGAAAGGTAAATCAATGTGCCTGATTAAAGTTCAAACTCTTGCACAGTTTCACAGAGAATGGTTTAATGAAGTTTCTTACATCAGTTAAAGTTCATTTATCAAATTTTGCACTTTCTCACAGGGTTTTTTTGGTAGGAATTACTTATGGTGAGTCAGCTGCTATTTATTTCTTTGCCTGGTTTCTAAGGGTGATATAAAGTGTCTGACAGAATTGGATGAAGGATGGAGGATCTGTCACCTCTGCAGCTGAGGGTAGTAGGACTGAATTTTCAAAACCTGGGCATCAGCTTCTGGGCTAGTAATTTTGAATCAGTTGCTCTTGAGAGGCAAAACTATGAACATTTATCAGTCCTTCCCTTTCCTAGTGTAATTTGGTAGTGGGTTTCTTTTTGGTTTTGTTTTTCTTTTTTTTGTTGTTGTTTTCTTTTTTTTTTCCTTTCAATCTCATCTCAAATTCAGTTAACTAAGCAGCCAAACTGCTGCTGGGTGTGCTAGTGCAGTTTCAATTAATAAACCAGGGGAGAGTCATATCGGCCAGTGAAATGGTATCTTCTAAAATGGTTCCATGCTGGAAAGGCAGCTGTGAGATCAATACAATGAAATTGAGACCTGCTGACTATGAAAATTTAGACAATGGAAGGGTTGGGAGTAGGTCAGAAACTTCAGCAGTCGGCTACAGTCACCATGAAACTACTGTTGTTCATTATTGATCTGCCGTACTCGCACGAGAACACTGCAAGATACGAACATGACTTTCATCAAGCAAAAGAAAGGAAAAAAGTAGCCTTGAATAGCTGTATGTCAGATAAGTGCTATGACATACAGAAAACTTAAATTTATTTAATTAAAAAATAATGTAAACAAGAGTTTATTATCATGTCCCTGGTGTTGCAAAGTAAATGCAAAGTAAATTTTGTGTATGTATTTTTATGTGTAGATGTCTGTAGAGGATCGCATTAAACAGTTACAAGAGGCACACCGAGATTTTGGGCCTGCATCACAGCACTTTCTTTCCAGTAAGTTCTTTGAATGTGAGATATGACGGCTTTCTCAGACACTGACTCCTCTTTACTCCAGATTTCCCTATGACTTGAGAAACAAGAAGTTCCTCTTCCATGTTGTTATCTACCTCCCTGTTTTTGTAGGGGTGTTTCTTCTTCGTAACTCCACTGACATTCTCACTGGCATGCTTCCCTCGAGGATCACTCTAATATCTTGCTGAGCTATAGTTGCCTCCCTGGTTGTTTTATTCTTTGTCCTCTGTTTGCTGCAAGGTCTGACCTTTGACTGTTCCAGAATCTCTGTGTGTTATAACCACATCTCCTCATCCCCTGTGTTAATAACCACATCTTCTTATCCCCTGCTACCTCTTTCCTCAGTTAGCTTTCGCTTCCACACTTGCTGGGCTGACACAAAGGAAAAGCTGCCTGGATTTTTTTTTTTTTTTTGTTAAAGGCTTAATGCCATACATTCCTGAAACTTCAAATAAAAGGGTGGGGAAAGCAAACCCGCACTACTTCATTTTAAGATCCATACTTACATCTTTTGCTATTTCGTGAAAATTCTAGAGAGGCAACCCTACAATCTTCCATATACTAAGAGGATGAAAGCAGATGCTTTTGCTCCCTTGTTCTCATTTGACTAATTTGTTACAGATAGATAGGTTCTGATATCAAGATCCATGTTGGTTTTCTGACATTCTAGTCTATCTGCCATCATCAGAGCTCATGATACAAACTGTTAACCCAACCAGCTCTCTGGTTTTTAACTGAAGGCTTCAATAATAAAGATAAAATTATTGCAGGAGTTGAGAAGTGAACATAAAAATGAGCAGCACTGTCCAATAGATTATCAGGTGCTGTAAGTCACTGTATAGCTAAACAGTAATATAATAATATATAATTTAAAATCATAAATAAATCTTGATTTATTCTTGAGTTACATGACAACTGTGTTCTTGTTTTAAACTGAAAACTAGTTTTTAAGTAAACTTTGTGGTAAACAAGATGCAGTGTATTTAAAATATTACAGCTGTTACATAAAATAACAATACCTGGAGCCACTTTGTCCTTTTTTTCATATTGACAGAACAAACAAACAACTTTAAAAGTATGTGATTGTTTTTTTGGTTTGTTTTTTTAAATCCCATTAGAAGTATTGCATAGTGTTTCCACAGTGGTTTTGTAGCCCATCCAGTCTCAAACTTGTAACCTTGACCTACACAGTACACCTATGTAATAATTTGCTAAAAAGAATACAGACAGAGCGGTATCTTTGGCACTGCTGAAAAATGCCAGATTAACTGTTTGGGAGAGTAGTCAGTCTAGTCTGTGTAATTGAAACGGACTAGGAAGCAATATAGAGAAGTTGCAGTTTCCCCTACTCTAGCTGGTTTGAGAAGTTCCTGAGTTCACTCCTGTGTCACTGTTAAGGCTGTTCAGCTCTCCTCACCTGGACCAACACAAATGTTCAGGCGACTGATATGGGGAAGGAAAAAGAACAAAAAATCAGTGAAAGAGTCCACATGTAAAACAAGGAAGCTTGCCAGGCAACGTTGCCTGGTTTTGTTTGCCTTGACCTGGATCTTTTCCTTGATTGGGCTTACAACATGCCACAACAAATGATTGCATTCACAAGACTGAGTGAACTGGATTTGTTGCTGGATGAAACATTCATAGAATTATGTCTAAAAAGACTATGTGGTGCCTTATCAGCATGCCTCAGCCTTGCTTAGGGCACTTTCGCCAGGCTGTAAGGGGACATTCAGTTTATGTTATGTACAAAAGTCAAGAAAGGAAAGTTTCCAGAATGCTTGTTGGTAGATACTGCAAAGAGCTATAGCCAAGTACCGCAGTCCTGCAAAACCAAATAGTATGCAGTTACTGATTTAAATTATTTGTTAAAAACCAAACAACCTCTTTCCCCACACAAACTACAGCAAAAACTTCTTAAAAAGAAAAAAAAAAATCTGTTTTAAGAGCTTGAGCTAGACAGAGTTACAGCACTTAATACCTACAACTTTATATAAAGTCTGTTAAATGAAAGTCAGGGACAGTAACTTCAGAAGGAAAGTAATAAAAAAAGTCATTAAATCTGGAAAAAAGAAGGTTTTATCCTGACAGATTGAAATAGTGCATATTCGAAATCAGATTTTTCAAACCTTTGTAGCAGCCATAAATGACTGCTAACTGTGAGGAACAGGTAGAGTAGTAGTCTGAATAAAATAACCTAAAGCTCCTAATACTGATATTATGATATGTATGTCTCATGCAAATCTTTATCTCAAAAGTTACACTTCTGAGTCTGAGGAGAGTTTTTTATCTGGACTCGTTTGACAGCAGCTATTTTAAATTTACCTCACCTACTTGTTACTCTTCCTCCAAATCCTAACCAGAGACCATAGCTTGCCATCACACCTTTTTCAGCTGGCTAGCTCCCAGTTGTCATTTAATCAGTAATTTGTGCTAGCAAAACGCCTATTTCTACCTGCTCATCAGGCTCACAGAATCACCGAATAGCCCAGGTTGGAAGGGACCTCCAGAGATCATCTGGTCCAACCTTTCATGGGAAAGGGAGCCTGAATGAGATTATCTAGCCCCCTGATTCCAGCCCCCTTAATCCAGTGATTTCACCTCTGCAGTGGCTAGTAATGTTTCTCTACTAAAAAGACACGGTGAAGCATTTAATACTGCTGTTGGAGTTCTTGGAACACCAATTACATGGATTCACACAGACCATCACGAAGAAAGCGCTTCCAAATGTTTTTGAAGACTAACAAAGAATATGACATGGCCCTTCCTAAAATGTCCTGCAGTAGAAGGCTAAGGTAAAACAGTATTAGTAGGCCACTTCAATCTATGATACCTGTCTTTGCTGAGCTTTTTCGTTTCCCATCAGTGTTACGCAGAATTTGATTGATCTTTTGAGATGGAAAGTGAGCTCCTTGCAAGTTAGTTACTGGTCAGTAAATTTTACACATCCCTAATACAGGAAAAGATGAAGAATCCTTATAATCTGTTCTTCTTTGCCAAAGGGTTGTTTTGCTTTCTCCTGCCTTTAATAACTTGTTTATCCTGTAATTAATTTTCTAATGCCCACGATCCACTCCTCTCTGTTGTTTCTTGTATGCTTTCTTAGAAGAATCCATGAACATCTACATAGCTCCACATGTTGCCTAACAAATAGCCTAGCTCTTTAAGTGGCCTGCTCAAAGCATCTTGAGTGGTGTCCAGCCTTACTAATATCTGCAGGCCTGCTGTGTGTGCCAGAATTGATAACTACTCTGTTCAGTTTTCATTGAGAAACTGATTTTAAAAGAAGAATGGGAATTTAATTTTGCAGAGTTTTATGCAGCAGAGAACTGGCATTGTTTTTAGAATGGTTGTTCACAAAGAAATAGAGTATGACATGGTCCATACTAATTAAAATTAAATAGAAAAGCATAAATTTATGTTGTTCAGTCTATATCTGTGTTGGTGCAGAATATTTATAGTCTGTCATAGCACATAAATTGTATCTAAGCAAACTGTGGCCAGATTTTTCTTCTTAGTCAGCTGACATAATTAGTGTAGTAGTACTGGAGCCACCGTAAGTGACAAATTGCGACACTGAAGAATGAAACTCTCAAGCTGATGGCCACCTTCACCCATCTGGTTGATTTTTTTATTTTTTTATTTATTTTTTTTTTTAGAGTTGTGAGTGCTTAATGATTATTTTTTAGTTAACTACTTCTATCTGAGCATTTAGCCTTTACTATGTTTTTTCTTTACCGCGTAATTACCTACCTTCTTATTACAAATGTTATTTTCTTTTTTAAATATTGATATAGAATTTTATCTATTTTTTTTTCCAGTGAATACTGTGGTTTAGTTGGTTCCTGTAATTTCCCTAATATTCTTCCCAGTTAATCTGTCTTTCAGTACATGAATGTTTCTGAAATTATAAGCCATGAAACTTTGTGTGGTCAAGGAAGAGGTCACAGCCATTAAACTTCTCAGGGAAGAGCCAGCTGGGAGCAGGACAAGACCTGCCTCTGTATGCAGCAGCACCAGCTTGAGGGGCTTACAGGGCTTGCAAGTCTTCGATGCAGCCTGAGACATCTTAGGGCAAGAGGAGAGAGTTACTTTCAAATGGATTTTTTTTTTTCCAAAGGAGGAGGAGATCTAAAGTGGGCCATGCTTGTAGAATATTACATTAACTGAGAGTTTAATTACTTGAGATCCAATGTGAATCAAAGCTGTGTCTCGTTTGACCGGGTTTTTAAACAGGGGGGTTAGCACTTAAAGGTAGGCACTTTCTCTTGGAACTATTGGCATATGTGTACAGTATAAATTCATCCCATTGTGATGATCTGATATTCCTATCTATTCTTTTAATCTCTGCTTCTACAGTGAATCTAGTGAAGTGAGTTTCTTCTATGATAAAACCCTTATTAACCAGGCACTAATCTGGTACGTTCCGGTAGGTCATATATGTACCTATGGCTCTTCAGTAAATAGCTGCTTTCAAGTTGTGCACCAGCAGTCCTGTTGGCTTGAACAATTTTTCCTCTTTTATAGCCTGGGACCTTTAGATAAGCAGAGTTGTAATGTCATTTATGACTTCATGCCTTTTGCAACTCAGTGTGCAGCAGGCTTCTTGATGGTATGGGTGATATCTGTTGATGTATCAGACTTGCATAAATTCTGCAAAAATTCCTGCTCTTCAGCAAGGAGTGCAAAGACAGGTTTCAATGCCTTTTTTTGTTGGTCATGCAGTGTTAATATTAATTTGAGTTGCAAATAGCAGCTAAAGGTGGTAACTAATGAAAATAAGGTTGATATTTCTCCTTTTTGTTCTGTTGCAGAGCATTAATTTTAGTAGTGGAAGCATTTCTTTTCAAAGCTTAAACTGATAATAATTCCATGGAGGTAGGAAAACCAGTGTCTCCATTTTCCCTGGAGGGATAGCTTGCTTGTTCAGAATTTATTATCCTTCTTTGAAGCAGAATCACCACATTTGTTTTATTTCCAGCTTGGCATCAAATAGATGCATAGAAATATCTTGATAGATTGCCATAGTTTTGATTTTCAGCTGGTTTTCTAATTACTAGAAGCTGTTTAGGAATTTTAAATTGTTCCCATTTGATTTATTATAACTGTTTTAATTGTGAAATAAACAAAGATAGTTGGATTTTTGTCTGACAGGTGCTTTCTAATAAATACCTTCTCTTTACTTCCTCAGCCTCAGTACAGTTTCCATGGCAGAGGTCTGTTTCACATAACAAAGTGCCCTATTATATCAAGTAAGTTTGTCTTGATTTTTTTTTCCTTAAGCGTAACAGAGGGATCTTATCACCATAACCTGGCAGAAAAACTTAAGTACTAAGTAGTAACTGGAAATGTTATCAAGAGTTTCTCTACATAGTGTTATACTCCATATACTAGATATTTTCATGTTTATTGCTTGGCATACTGCGTAATTTAGAAATATGTAAAAAAATAAAAATCAGTGACAAACTCTGACTAAAACCCCCACTCAGACAGGAAACAGCAGAGGTGCTCCAGTGTAATACAGTATCAATCTTCAAACTAGGCTTGTTCCTATGTGTGTGGCTCGTCTAAACTGTAAAGGGAAAAAATATTAATACATAGTGCATTTACAAATGCAAAGTTTCTAACTTATAGCAGAACAGTGGTGACTAATATCTATAGAGTCCATTCATCATTTAGGTCAAAATTCCTTCAGAAATAGACACGTGTTGATTGTCCTTCTATCATCTTCTTTATGGATATTATTATAGTGCCTGTATTAATGTAAATGTAAAATTAATGTAAATATTGACAACAATTGTACAAATACCTTGGTTATTAAGAGGAATGGTTGAGATACTTATTTTGAAAATAATAAGTAGTACTTAGTTATGGAGGTGTGGAGATTTTGATGTGTTTTAGTTGGAGCAGTCCTTAACTTGGGTTTTCTCATTCCATCAGCATTTGTTTATGTACTGTTTGCCAATACATTAAAGATGAAAGATTGCAACTTTGAGAGAATAATAGCTTTTGGCCAGAGGTAAATAAAGTTTTAAGAGGGTGCAGTCTATAGCAAGCCAGACCCAGTGTAGTTCAGTTTAGGCTGAAGGAAATCTGTGTTCAAATGTTACCAGTTTGAGTTCGGAAAAAAAGTAGGTTTTTTTAGGTCTGCAGGATGACTGTACATTGGACCTGCAGATAATTAATTCTAAAAGAACATCAGTGAGGACTTTGTACTATTGCATATTGGTCAGTCATAAACGAGAGCCACATTTTGTGCTTCAAACAATTTATGAGTCCTTGAGAGCTTTGAAAAGTAGGCAATGGTAGATCTATGCTGATCAAACCTGTTGTCATCATTCTTGAAGTGTGACAGTTGTTTTTAAACTGTGTTATGAAGATTACTTTTTTAAAGGGTCTGGGTAGGTAAATAGAAAATGAGAAAACCTACTGTGAAGATCTTTGAATTCTCTGTAAAAGCATTTGCAGCTCTGCTGAAAAGTTTTGCAGGAGGCAACAGAAAGCTGGGGCACACTGGAAGAAAGGCTCGTCCCTCAGCCCTGAGTGGAAGAGGAGGGGGCGGAGGTTGGATGTGGAGCCACACTGACTGCCTGGACTCGGGCAGCAGTGCAATGAAGATGATCACACCTGCAGCCGTAGTTAAAAAAAAAACGCTGAAGTATCAAACTACAGAGAGCAAGAGGAAAACTATCCCTAAACTGGTTTATTTTGAGGATGGCTCTAATGAAGTCAACAGAATTAACTACTATATCTCAAAGAATATTTTTCCAGTATTTTTTTCCTACTTTCAACACGATACATGCTGCTGAAACAACGGCTTGATTCTTGTGTCTTGAAAGAGAAGAATGATATTACATGTAACGGGTAGGATTTATTTATTTCAAAAAGGTTGAGGGAGGAGTACTGAATTTCAGTAGCTCCACAGTCTGACAAGCAGACTGACCTTGGCAGTCTCCTTCATTTCTTATTGCTTACTGATCTAAACTTCAGTGTTGGCAGCAGCAGCTAGATAAAACACAGATTTGTGGAAAATAAAGCAGAAAAGAGCTGATTTTGAACTTTGTTTGCTTTGGTATGATCAGACTGGGGAGTATTCTTAGCTTTAAATATTGTTTTAAGTCTTCGCCTCTTCCCTAATTTCAGATATAGTTTGAAGAAGAGAGGAAAATGATGCTGCCACAAAAACTTATTTGATTGGAGTGATTAAATGAGCTTTTGTAATACAATTCAAGAGAACAGTCAGCAGGACTTAATGGTGGTTGTTTATATAGAAAGAGGTTCTGGAAAAGAGGCAAATTTTTTAAATTTTTTTAATTTTTTGTTTAATTGTACTAACCACTTTGAATGAGGTGTCTTTGTAAAACACAACATGAGTAGAAGGAATATTTATGATGAGTCTTGATAATTCTGTTATTCAAAAGCAATTATATTTTCTGTTTTTACAGCAAGAATTGTATGTTCAGAGAGAAAATTTAAGGTACCAGTTGTTCATTTTGTGGGATAACAGCAGGAGAAGGAGAATAAAACTATGAGTCAATGACTGGTGGCTGATAAATGAGAATTTTTAAAAATTAATTTTTAAAGGCAAAAAAATGCTAATTGAAATTAAGCTACTTTAATTCTGGATAAGAACATAAACTCTTCTTAGACAACCATAAATTCATACCTTTACTTCATTTTGGTTATTTTTTGTGAGTGTCCTTGAATGAGAAATGTGAAATATTCAGAAGTGATAGAGCTGTAGATGATATTGTTGTACCTCTGTTAAAATGAGTATTTAAAAAAAATAAAATACTGCTCTTTTTGCAGTTTTATTGCACATTGAGAATGGAGTTTAAAAAAAATTAGGGAGCTGCAGCTGACAAGGCAGGAGGGAGTACTTTAGGTGGCAGTGAATCTGTAAGGAGAATGTCAAAATGATGCAAGACGTCTGTATTTTCAAATGAGCAGCATTTATTCGGTTTGTCTCCTGACACCAGAGGTAACTTGGACTTACATGCAGAGAGATAAGTGTATCAGAGAAAGAGGTCCTTAGTGTGCCAGCACACCATGGTGGCTTTGGAGTGCAGCTTGTTCTCCCCACCCTACTTACTAATGGTTGGCACATCTGCCGTTTCTGGGGTTGTAATGGAAGCATGTGAAAGATTAAAAAGCCAGTGTACAAACTCCTCTGCCCCATAAGTTCAGACAGAGGCAGTCTGGATTTGGGACACTTTGAAAAAGAGTGACTGTTCTGCTTGGCTCGAAGAAGGATTTGTGATTCATTGAGCCCAGGTTTATCAAGGTGTGCGCACCCTGGGCTATGGCAGGTATTTGGTTGAACTGAACCTATACACTTGATTTAGTCTGTCTCCTCTTGAATTGTCTTACTATGTAAACCAAGTTTGCCAAATGGTTTTATGTCTGTTGATGTGAGTTTATTTAGTCCTTTTTGCCTTATGTTCGATTTTTTTTCTTAATGGCAATTGATACAAGTTTTTGTATTCCTGTAGTCTGTGTCAGGGTAGAATTCAATCAATGAAAACCTGAATCTGTAAAATCTCAATGCTGTTAAAATAAATAAATAAAAAAAATCTTAGTCTTTCATACTATATAAAAGAAAATGGGACTAATGAGCAGTATGGAAGGGAATACAACACAGCCAGCACAGTATTTAGTAATGCACTTATGGTAATAAAAGTGTGAATTTTGGACAAAAGGTTTGGCAAACTTGCCCATGATTTCATATTCCATAAGTAGGTTTGCAAAGGTTTGAGATCTAATAAGGAGAGTTTTCTGCTGTTGTTCATTTATAACTATTTAAATCACACAAAGAAGACATGCTTTGCATCTATAACAGAAAATGAAAAAAATAAAGCCTTATATTACATAGCACTTCAACAGAAATATTCTAAAGAGAAACAGAAGAATAAAGAGACACTATGTGTGATTGTTAAATATCTTTGAGAAAAACACAATAAACTGAAAGGAATGTGCAGAAAACATAATTAGCCTGGCATTTCTCACCGTTAATTTAACCGTAATTTAAGTGTTCATTAGCTGTGTACCTTTCAATGTTAAAATTTATTAGATATTTGTACTGTGCAGAAGAAACCCAAGGGTAATACAGAAAGAGTCACAGTGTGTTTAATCTCATGCAGGATGTTACATAGGGAGAGCAATTTCTTGTTGTAATCATTAAATTGATCAATCTCAAACTTCATAGTTACTGTAGTTACTTTTCTGTAATCCTGCAAAGAGGCTGGCATCTCTATTTTAAAAATCTCATTTTATCACCTCCTATATCATGTTCAGCTTGACGGGGGATGGGAATAAAGTGCTTTCTGCTTCTGCATTTTCTTCAAGAAGCCTTTCCTGATGTTTGGCTTATGCCTTTACGAGGGAGAGAGGAAGAACTAACAGAACTGGGAAACTTCACTTTTTATTCTTATTCTAGTTATGTCCATAATCCCATTCTTAGAAGTATTAAGAAGTATTTCCCCTAGAAGGGAAAATAAAATATAATTTCTAGAAAAAACCGTAATATGAATATAAAATATAATTTCTAGAAAAAGATGATACTGGTTTCAGGTTTTGAGAGTTTCTTCAATTACCAGTTCTTGTGCTGGTCTTCATTTTCTATTAAAGAAATGCAGTAATACATTTTCTCTGGATGGATTTCAAAATATCTGCATATAAATTGCTCCACCAGCCTCTGATATGCATTACCCTTGCAATGTATTATGCCAACTCTTTTTGACTGCAAAACACTTCTTTTTTAGTGGGCTAAAAAAAAAAAAAGAAATATACTGTATTTAGATTAAACACACCATGATATATTTAGAAAGTGGGGATGTCGTTATGCCATTTGAAATTTGGCAAGGGCAGCAAAGTGAGAGTTCTGGGTATTGTTGATTCATTAGTGATCAGTAAAGATCCTGATTTCACTTAATGTTTGTGCGAATGACTACAGGAACAGAAAGCTACTTAAAATAGTGCCAGAGTACTGTTTCTGTGTCTGCCCTTGTGGTGTCTGCCAGTGATTATCAACACAGACATAGGCCTTGTCCATGCTAAGAAATAATAAAAACCCTGCAAAGCTGTCTCTAGTTTTCTTTCTTGTAGACAAAAAGCTAAAAAAGAACAAATTGATTTTTTTTTTTCGCAACTCTGTGGGCAGCTTGAAACACCTGGAGATGTAGAACTTACTCCATTCATTTCAACAGGACTGTTCGCTTATTTCTAAGAGGCCAGGGTATTCCTATTAGGCCAG